CAGAGCATCCAGTCAAGTGATTTTCCACCTTGGCTCTGCTTGACTCTGACGGATGATGTGGACATGTGTGGACCTGCTCCTCTGTTCTTGACAGCGTGCTAGCCACGTTACGCTCATGCTGTCCACGCAGAACCCTCCAAGGACCTGCACCTGGCTGGCCTCCTTTCCTGGAGTCTCAGCACTAACTTTCCCTTTAAGTAGGGAGACTGGTGGTGGGATCCAAGTTTAAGGGCTTCCCGTGGCTAAAGCCTGGTGGCCCTGCCTCTCATAGGTGATCGCTCTGGTCCGGAAACTGCTCATCTCTCTGCTGCCCTAGAAAGAATTAAATGAAGAGCAGAGCTAAAGGCCAGCCAGAACAACCATTAAGAAGAGTCAGTGAATACATTACAACAACTGCAAAAGACATTTAAAGTCCTCAGAAATGACTGCATATGGAAGCGGACAGGAACCATTAATTGACTCTGATCCAATAATTGCCAAATGCCAGGGTTGGGCACAAAGAAGAAACGAAAGGTCAGAATATCCCTCTTGGACCAGCGGGAAGTGAGGACATGAAGATAGCTTAGTCCTTTTAAAAACCATTTAAGTGAGCTGCAGTTACTTGAACATGATCTTAGCATCGACATTGACTGGTCTCAGGCACGCTGTGCAGGGGGAAATCCCACATGAAGAACTGTTCTCATGGACTCGAAAGGACCCTTTCTGCCGGGAACGTTTAAATCCAGAATTTCCAGTTAAGACCATCATATTCTGATCCCTGTTGAGCAAATGAAATTAGACTCCATTTAGACCACATTTGGCCTAATGATGTTCACTACCTCCTGAGGCCAAAAAATATTCCCCAATGCGCATACATTGCAGAGTGAGATTAGATGTCATGGAGAACCTGGTGATAATCTGGATTGTAAAGCGCCAGAAGCTTCTAATGGAGGTGTGGTGTAGGTTTCGGTCCCATAAATCCTTTATGAAATAGATAAACACTCTTAACCTGAGACCAGTTCAGATTATGCCTGCCTGGGGAGCCTTCTTATCAGGTCAGTTGTGATTTAGGGAAACCTGGGGGATTTATGAGAAGGTGGCACGGACGATGTCCACTTATGTCCAGGGCTGGGTTTCTCAGTCTTGGCACTGTTAATATTTTGGGCCAGGAATTGTTTGTGGTGGGGGCTTTCTGTGCACTGTAGGGTGTTGGGCAGCACCTCTAGCCTCTACCCGCTAGATTCCAGCAGCATCGCTGTCCCCCCAAACTCCCCATTCATGACCACCAAAAATGTTTCCAGACTGTGCCAAATGTCCCCTTGGGGGGGGGGCAAAATCTCCCCACCCCCTGGTTGAGAACCCCTGCTTTACTTGTGACCATCCATCCCAGCTTGCCCAGGACTGAGGACTTTAGCACGTGGGACTTTCAGTGCTCAAACCAAGGACAGTCCACGTAAACTGGCGTGAGTGGTATCAATAGGTTTTAGTTCACACTAAAGTTTAAAATAAGAAACCAAACGTTTTGAAAAGTCTGTCTTTGGGAGGCACTGATGGACAGAGGCCCTTTGGGAAACACAGTGTCATCCCACATCAGCATGTTTTCTGATACCGTAAAGCAGCGATTCTCAACCTTCCTAATGCCGCGACCCCTTAATACAGTTCCTCATGTTGTGGTGCCCCCCAACCATAAAATTATTTTTGTTGCTACTCTATAACCGTAATTTTGCTACTGTTATGAATCGTAATGTAAATATCTTTTTGTTTTCCGATGGTCTTAGGCGACCCCTGTGAAAGGGTCGTTCGACCCCCAAAGGGGTCGCGACCCACAGGTTGAGCACCGATGCCATAAAGGCTTTAGAGACAAACATCCATGTTTCTCTTCAGTGTCTCAAAAGCCTGAGTCATGATTAGATGGGCCATTGGGAGGTTTGGTCCTGGCCAGTGGACCAAGCGGACATGATTCAAACCATGGCACCTTTCCAGAAGAGAGGTTCATGTTTGACACCTAGTAGTGATTTTGAGTGACAGACTTCTCCTTAGAATTGGAGGCTGTGTGACAGTATACATCATGAACGTGACAGCAACACGGGACTAATTTAATTCCATTTTTGTCTGCAGCCCCGAAAAATCATTGCCGCAGGGAAAAATAAATTTTTCTTTCTCAGACGAAAATGATTTGAATACAATGATGTGTACTCAGGGGAAATTGAGGTCTGAGAGAAAAGTCTGTTGGTGGGCTTAACAATATTTAAAGTAGTGTTTTCTGGAACTTGTTGCACATGCCTCCTGCACCTGGCCTGGTAAATGACTTAGACCAGAAGGTCTTTCTTTCCAGACTAATTTAGAAAAGTCACATCAAATCGTACCAGCCATCTTGCCTAAACGATTGTGCTTTTTAGGGTGTCTCCTTGGAATGGGTAATCGATTCTAGTGCTGTGTATCCTGCACAAGTTGGTGAGTGAAACAGCTAAAATAAGGATTCTAGACTCTACAGAGTCCTGACCATTTATAAATAGGAAAAGTCTCAGTGTGAGTGGAAAATTGCCAGTGGCTTTCATCTTCCTTCCAAAAAATGATTGTTGCTTAGAAATGAGCTTCGGCTGGGAGGCTTTTTAAATGATACAGGGAATGAATTATGGACGGAGCGGGGCTTGGGTCTCACAGTGCTATGCGATGAGGAGCCTAGTGAATCTGGGGAGGGGTGCAGTGTAGGTGGAACCCCACCCCCAAGGAAGACAGTGGAGAGTGGGCCCTAACGCTTGTAGAGCATCATATATGTACTCTGTCTAAGCTAAAGAATACCTAGCACACTTTGGGGAGATCCTCCAATCCTGTTTCCATCCATAAAAAGCACAAGAAAACCACTAGCTTGTGAGTGGAACCCACTTCTTCCCACACTCTCCATTACTGGCATTATTGCTTTGGGGTTGGGGGCAAAAAGGAGTGAACCCAGGGGAAGTGTTGCTTATAACCATTTCCCGCAAGCAAGCCCACTGCAGTTGTCCCACTCTAGACGTTAGCCCCAGTTACACTCCACCTTTCAGTGACTGAAAGAATAAATCATAGGCAGAAGCTATAAAAACCCCTGTCAGGAAGCAGCGCCTTCCTGGGGAGCAGTGTGAACGTAAGGTAAATGAGCAGTTACTGCGGAGATGATTTTATAGGAGTGAGACATTTGACGTTAGAGCAGCAAGAAGAATTGTCCTGTGAATTATAAAACTGCTCCCTCCTCCACCCTCCTCACAGCCCACCAGAGAGCAATGGTCTTCGTTGGACACTCAGCCTAACTTCAGGGAGCTTCGATTTCCCCGTTTTTGTTTTTGTTTTTAACCCTGATAAATGACCGGAGCTTTGGGTTAGGCCTGGCCAGCCGTTGAAAATACATATTTGTCTTTTAAAAAGCAGGTCCTGGATACTGTCAGGAATAAGAGAAACAATTTGAGAAGACATACAAGGTACACAGTATTTTACTGGCTTTGTTTGTCATTAAATTCCATGTCTAAGAGAGACTGGGGATTTGGGGTTCCAGCAGCGTGATGCCCTCCCCCTCCTAGTTGTATCAGCTTGGAATTCAAAACTGCTTCGTGGTGTTCTTTATTGCCAAATGCAGCCCTCAGGAGCTCAGAGTCTGCGTCATCTTCCTGGGTCTGATGTACTGCGAGACATCAGCGTCCCAGACATTAAGCTGTACGCACCAGACTCAGAAAGAAACAAAATGGTGGCATCTGGGAAGACAGAAAACCCCAGGGTATACTGCTGGAGGGGGAATAAAATCACGCAGGCATGTTGAAGGACTGCATACTGCTATGTATTTAAATACAATATTTAAGGAATTCTCTGGGCCTGTACTGTGCTGTAGAGTTTGCCGCTGAAAGGAACCAAAACAAAACTTAATTAGCCCTTGGTTTACAAAAGGTCTTAGGACCTATGCCCTTGGGTTTTCTTTGTTTTAAGAATTTGTTTTCTGCAAACACCTCCGTGGGGCCCTGCTCCGGAGGCATGGCTCTGTGACTGTATTTGTTTCTTCCGAGGGCTGCCGCAACCAGTTGCCAAAAACTGGGTGGCTGAAAGCAACACACATTTATTCTCTCCCAGTTCTGGAGCCCAGAAGTCTGAAATCAAGGTGTTGGCAGTGTTGGTTCCTTCTGGGGGCTCCAAGGGACAGTCTGTTCTGTGCCTCTCTCCTGGCTCCCTGTGTCTGTGGCAATCCTTGGTGTGCCTGGGCTTGTAGGTGCCTCACTCCGAACCCTTCCCACGGCAGCCTCCCCTCTGTGTGTCTCTGTGGATCAAACCTTGCTCTCCTTTCTCTTATAAAGATACCAGTCCCTGGAGTTAGGGCCCACCATCAATCCAGGGAGACTTCATCTTGACATCCTTAACCTCATTACATCTGCAGAACCCGTTTTCAAATAAAGTTGAATTCACGGGTACTGGGAGTTAGGTTGTGGGTACATCTTTACAGGGCACCCAAGTCAACGGACCCGTCATCAAAGGTCTAGATTCTGTTTCTCTTCGCATCTCTAACATTGCTACTCTCTGTTGCTTTAGTCCATTTTCAAAACTTCACTCATATGGATTGTTAAGCTGACACCTGGCTCTAACATTTGCCTCTGTCCCCCCACTCCCTACCCCATATTCAGGCTTAAACATCCCTTCATACCACATCTGCCATATAGCTCCTAGGAGACAAAGGCCAGGCTGGCCACACCCTCAAAATATGGCACCTCTAAGGCATGAATTCCCATGACCTTGTAAGTCCAATCAAAGAGGACAGGCTCAGAATCCTATCCAGTCCCCCACACGAGGCTGTAACCTTTTGTCTTCACACATTTGAAGAGCACATGAATACTCACAGAAAATACTCAAGACCAGAGAGATGGGGGGAGGGGTAGCCGCAGAGAGAAGAGCTGCCTGAGAACTCCCCTGATTGCTCTAGCAGTCAATTTATCCAGAAAGATAAGGTAGCACAGTGAGGCTCTGGACAGACTCTGATTGACTGTTTTGTTTTGTTTTTCTTTCAGCAAACTGCCTAGTTGGGCTAGAGCTGTTGTTCCCAAAATATTTTATGTTACAGAGAAGGCTTGGAACTATTATCCCTACACGATTACAGGTAAGTCCTTTGTGCACCCAGCATGTCACATGGAGCAATAGGATATAACAGTAGTCGGATTTCACTGATTTAGGGTTTGTTATCCAAAGCAGGGGCTAGTGGGAGACCCCACCATCTCCCTCACCCTTTGCCTTCATCCTTTTAGGTCAGTGCTCTTTTTGGGGAGGAGTGGGGTGGGTATTAAAGCTAAACCATTCCATCTTCCTTCTTAAAGTGTTGTCATAAATAGCATTTGGAAGAAGGAATGAGAAGCTCATTTCTAAAGGTTTCATTATCCTTATTTCTTTCTGATTCCTCAGTAACCCCCAAGTAATTTGGGGGCGTGATTTGTTTATAAAAAGTTGTTTATATTGACTTGTTTATTTTACAGCCCTCCCCCCACCCCCAATCTCCCAAAACACCTTGGTTATAATTTATGTAAAAGATTCTGTTGGGTCGCACTGTCCCAAAATGGATCCTTTGCAGTTGGATGATATGAAAATCTGTTAGATTACTTTCCATCTCACTTGTAATGGAGTGATGCCCTCTATGCTGACACTGAACCACAATAGAAACTATGGTCAAAAAGTTTTGGTTCGGTTCCTGCCCTCAAGCACATGAAAATTCCAGATCCTGCTTTTGGATCATCGTAAGCTCTTCTTATTGGTTATGAAAGCTGCTTTTCCACTTAAAAGGTTTCCTGTGTGGTTAATGAAATGCTCTACTGGAATTATTAGTCGTTAAGTCTGCTTTTATAATGCCAGTGCTTTGGGTTTTAATTAGCCGCAAACCTACAGGCTCATTGAAGTTTGTTTTAACAATCCTTATCAGCCCCACCACCAAAATATCATATGAGTTTCAAGAGCAAGCATAGAAACATTTAGTATTTATGAAAGTTTAATTTTGGGAAGGTTCCTGTACCACATTTTTAATAATTACAATGTACCAGTATTTGTTAGTTCTGTGGTTTTATGTTACATATAAGTATGGTCTAAATCATCATTTTTATCTCTCTTTTTCTTTTCCCTCTTGTCCAAACGAACACCTGGGACCAGAATACACAGTGAGTTTTATTTAATCATTTTTAAATATTCAACCTATAATCAGTGGAATAATTAGAACTTCCCTTGTACTTCTCATCTTATCAATGTAATAAAACATATAGAGGAATAATTCAGAATCAGAAATATTTAAATGTCGGCTATTACATAGTTATATATAATGCTGTAACTTAAATATTCTCTTTGTTCAAGAATATGAATGTTAATTTAAAATGCCTTGAAAGTCACTTTACATAATTAACTTTTGCTTGTAGTTTTAAATAGCTTGACTGCTCTACTTGTGATAGTTAACTGTAATAGCAGAATAGTTTCTAGAAATGTGGTACTAAAGAGATGATGGTGCTTATCTATGGAAGATGGGATTAATATTTACAGGCTGTAGCCTGATCCCATATTAGAGAACCTTGAAACTAATAGAAAGACGTACATTGGACAGTCTCAGTGGCTTGATAAAAATCATTTAATTTCTTCTGTCCTAAGAGCCTCTAAGTCATTACTTACACTTAAAAAAAGAAAAGAAGACCCTATAAAATAGTATTTTGTGGTGTTTTCATTCGGATCATTTCCCCAACGGCCAACTGTCATTAACAAGCAAATGGTTAGCTGAGCTATGAGGGAGTTGAGTTTTGGGTCTTAATCAAAATTGCCAAAGTAAAAAGAGATGGTGAGAAAGATGGAGGGAAATGATTTTTCATGGCCTTGGCATGAGCATGGTACCCTGCGTATGCCTAGTAGGTGCTCAAGAAATAGTTATTGAAGGAATTAAAAAATTGGGGGACAAAACATAAAGAAGTTAGTTATAGTTGTATAGTCTTATACTTGTGCCCTTCTGTTTGACTCTTTAAGTATTACTTGATCTCTTCTAGGCCCTCATTATTATTAGGCTTTGTTTTTGTTTTGTTTTGTTGTCAATTCTTCCCTAAAGCAATCCTTGGGGTAGTTTCCTAGGGCTGCCATAACAAAGTACCACAGGATGAGTGCCTTAAGACAACAGAAATGTATTCTTACAGTTCTGGAGACTAAAAGTCTGAATCAAGTTGTCAGTGGAATCATGTTCTCTCCGAAACCTGTAGGGGAAGAGTCCTTCTTTGCCTCTTTCTAGCTTCCTTGGCTTGTGGCAGCATCACTCCAAACACTGCCTCTGTTTTCACATCATTGTCATCTCTTGGTTTCTATGTCTTCATAATGCTTTCTCCTCACTGAGTCTTTCCCCTTTTCTTTTCTTTTCTTTTTTTATAAGCTGAGCCATCCTGCCACTTGTTGGCAGCGCAGCGGCTGCTCAGCTCAGGCCGGGAATCGAACCGCTGTTGCTCCGAGCTCAAAGTCTTGAGCGAGCTCTTAACCAACTGAGCCACTCAGCCGACCCTTCTCCTTTTCTTATAAGGACACCAGTCATATTGGATTAACCATCCACCCTACTCAGTATGACCTCATCTTAACTAATTGCATTTACAGTGACCTTACTTCCAAATAAGATCACATCCCTGAGGAACTGGGCTTAGGACTTCAACAGATAATTGGGGGGTGGGGGGCACAATTCAGCTTATAACACCATCTTTCAATTTTTGGTTAACGTTCATTTATCAAGCACCAACAATGTATGAAACATGCTAGAAGATTTCATTGAGCAATAACCCCTGCCCTGGGGGTAGTTACAACCTGGGAGTCACAATCTGATTCTAGTCAAAGCCTTGGAGTCATCAGCGAGTCATGGGTTTTTCTGGAGATTTTTATGAGTGATGGGACAGGCCATCACTCAACTCAGGGACAGGCTGGCACCAGACCTGCCCACTGAGCTGGGAGAACTCTGAAAGGGGCTGACAGCCGAGGTTCAGACCATAGGGCAGAATGAATGGCATGGGGGAGTCAGCCAGACAAGCAGTTGCAATGCAAAGGAAGTGCCCTGGCCTCTGGATTGGGGCCTTGAGCTTCAGGCCCAGGACTGCAGTCCCCCTGAAGTGGGGGTATAGGCAAGAACAGGATGCAGCCATCTTACAGGTCAGATGGGATAATCATGAGATGCTGGGGTGATAACGTAGCCAGCTTTAACAAGTAAAAATACCTACTGTCCTGTTAAGTTTGCATTTTCAGATTAACAGCAAATAGTTTTTAGTACAAGTATGTCCCAAGTATCTTATACTAAAAGATGCTCATCTCGTATTTTATCTGGCAGTCTTTTGGGGGGAAGGGTGGCAGTGGGACAGAAGTGGTCTCAGAGACCAAAGGACAAAAATCAGGTTGTAATCACTTCGTAGATTATATAAATGCCTAACCACTGTGCTGTACATCTGATATTAATATAAAATAATATTGCATGTCAACTATAATTATAGGGCCATGGGATGTAAAGTACAGCATAGGGAATATAGTCAATGGTATTGCATACCTGTGTACGATGTCAGAGGGGTAGCAGACTTGGGGGGATTATCACTTTGTTAGGGGTGTAGATGTCTAATCATTATGTTGTTTTTGTACACCTGAAACTAATAATAAAAAAAAGTCAGGTTGTAAAGACAGGATACATTGGTAGGTCAAGGGCGAGGGAGGAGAGAGAACTGTGTAACTCAGGAAACTGTTCTGCAGGCGATGTGCCATGTTAACACTAAGGCCAATCAAGTGACTGGTCAGAACAACATCAGCACTTTCCTCAGTTAGGATTGGCTCAGGAAGTGAAGTGGATTGAAGTGGGCAGAGTTGGAGAAAATAAAGTGGGAACAGATAACTATATAACCGTCAGTATTTCAAGGAAGACCTGTGCTAATTGTCGCCATTGAAGTGCCAATAGGGGATTGTAAAAAGGAGAGAGTCTGCCTGGGGGAGAGATGGGAAGGTGTTTTGAAGAAGGTGGGATTTAAGCTGGACCTTAAGAGTAGTGGACCTCCCATCTGCAGGCACCTGCTCTGTCTATGTCTGCTCGGGATGCATAGCAAAACACCAAACACTGGATGGCTTGAACAACAGACATTTGTTTCTCACAGTTCTGGAGGCTGGAAGTTCAGGATCAAGGATTGGCTGATTCGGTTCCTGGTGAGGGCCCTCTTCCTGGTTTGCAGAAAACTGTCTTCTTGCTGTGTCCTCACATGGCAGAGAGAGAAAAAACAAGCTCTCTGGTCTCATTAGAAGGTCACTAATCCCGTCGTGAGGGCCCTACTCTTATGACCTCATCTAAATCTAATTACCTCTCATAGGCCCCATCTGCAAATATCATCACATTGGGGGTTGGGGTTGCAACATATGAATTTGGGGGCCGGGACACAATTCTGGCATAGCATGCTCATTCTAGGCCCAGTGTGTAGGTGATGTCATTGGACCCTCACCACTGGGACACAGGGAGGCCAGGTCAGGGCAGCTTTAAATGTCAGGTCAAGGTCTGGATTTAATTCTCCATAAGGAAGCAGCCTTGTTCCTAGCTAATCCATATTTATTTTCCATCTCAAATCTAGGACAGCTTTTCTTTCCGTCTCCCAGGGACTGGAGGATTTGGTTTTTTCTCTCTCTGGCTGCAGGTGCACTTCCTCCATGGACTGGGACTCAGCCATATTCTCATATTCGCTGCCCACCACAGCCCAGGTGCAAGAGCCCACTCTTCCCTCTGACTACAGGGGTCTGCTCCCAGGATTTATGACAGATGGTTTCAATTGTCTTCATCTTTTTTCCTGTGTGAAATGCTTTTTCACTGGGCTCTTTATCCCCTGATCCTTTAATCCCAAATAACTCCTCTTGATGTCATCCCAAGCTTCCTATTTTCTGTCTGTGTCCCAATGCAAACTTCCCCACTGCCAAACTCCCAACTCGAGTCACCAAGCCCTGCCCTCCGTCATGGAGGCAGAGGGGCTCTTACTGCTCCGGACAGGTGTCTCTTCATAGGATTAGCCCAGAGCAGTGTTTGTCTGTTCCTAGGATCCCCTAGATCTTATCACTGACTCTCCACCCTCTTACTGAGACCTCATGCTGCCCTCATTTGGGACAACATCTAGCCAAAGGAACTTCCTATTTAAGGTCATCTAGAGCTTCGACATTATCACAGTTATAAAGACGTGAGAGCTTTTTCATCACTTGGAGTGGCTGTGTGTGTTTAGGATTATGTGCAAATGCCATTTGCCCAGGAAATGGAAAAAAAAATATCTTTAGCTGGGTTGTAGGAGGAAAAATCTTAATTATACAGCAAACAAAGAACAACATGAGGACAATTTTCCAGAGGACGGACCATCTAACCCATTCTTCAGAACCTGCTGGTTCTTCTGAAGTTTGTAAAGTCACAAAGGAAGGTGCCTCAGGCGACTGGCTGCCTTCCAGCATCGCTAATTTTGTTTTTCTGGGACTAAAAAAAGGCAGCGCTGGAATATGAACACAGCTCAGCAGCATCAATTCAGCCTCGGTAGTAATGAAGGAGAAGAGAGATTTTCTTCTCATTTGTAAGAATTTGACAACTTTAGCTATAGTAAGTCAATAGGAGTGACCTAGATTATACAGTTGCTATATATATTTTATTGCCATGACCATCCCACTCCACCAAAATATCTTTTAATGAGAATCCGCAGACGAGGGGAAGACAAATGGGAAGTTAGTTAGAATGGCTGGCTGTTACCCAGGGAGCAAAGGTAGCCATGGGCTATCCAATGTTACCCAACGTTTTAATTATGTAGTTAAAAGAGATAGAAAATGTAAATTGTAACTGACCAGGGAGAAGGAAATGACTCTTGAATGAGAACCTCAGACAACATTGAATGCCGGTGAGAGAAGGGGCTGTTCAGGATGGGTTTAGTCAAACTGGGGAAGAGTCAAGATGGCTGCTGACAGCTGAGAATGGGTCGTCAGTCACCAAAGGTGAACTCAGGTTATCGTCCCAGGAGTGGCAATAGAGAGATTGTGGTGTTTTTCTGAAAGCAGCTAACTGTCCTGGGTAGGAATTTCACGCACAGTCTTGGCCTCATCAACTTCCCTGATAGTTGAAAGAGCTGATGGATGGGGAAGAACCTCTATTCCTCTTAAGCCTTCTCTT